TGGTGTGGGAGTGAACATGAAGTGAGGGAGGGCGGCCTGGTGTGGGAGTGAACATAAAGTGAGGGGGAGGACTGCCTGGTGTGTTGTGAACGTTAAGTGAGGGAGGGAGGCGGCCTGGGTGTGGGGTGAACATTAAGTGAGGGAGGACTGCCTGGTGTGTTGTGAGCGTTAAGTGAGGGAGGGACGGACCTGGTGTGGGGTGAGAACATTAAGTGAGGGAGGACTGCCTGGTGTGTTGTGAACGTTAAGTGAGGGAGGACGGCCTGGTGTGGGGTGAACATTAAGTGAGGGAGGACTGCCTGGTGTGGGGTGAACATTATGTGAGGGAGGACGGGCTGGTGTGGGGTGAACATTATGTGAGGGAGGGCCGGGCTGGTGTGGGAGTGAACATAAGGAGGGCGTGAGGTGTAGGGTGGAACATTAATGTGAGGGAGGACCGAGCCTGGTGTGGTGTGAATACAAAGTGAGGGAGGACTGCCTGGTGTGTTGTGAACATTAAGTGAGGGAGGACAGCCTGGTGTGGGAGTGAACATTAAAGTGAGGGAGGACTGCCTGGTGTGGGAAATGAACATTAAGTGAGGGAGGGCGCCCGGGCTGGTGTGGGGTGAACATTAAGTGAGGGAGGGCGGCGTGCCTGGTGTGGGGTGAACATTATGTGAGGGAGGACGGGCTGGTGTGGGGTGAACATTATGTGAGGGAGGACGGCCTGGTGTGGGGTGAACATTAAGTGAGGGAGGACGGCCTGGTGTGGGGTGAACATAAAGTGAGGGAGGACTGCCTGGTGTGGGAGTGTGAGGGAGGACATGGTAAGTTGAGAACGTTAAGTGAGGGAGGGACTGACCTGGTGTGGGAGTGAACATTAAGTGAGGGAGGGACGGACCTGGTGTGGGGTGAACATAAAGTGAGGGAGGACTGCCTGCCTGGTGTGTTGGAGAACATAAAGAACAGGTGAGGGAGGGCGGCCTGGGTGAACATTAAGGAAGGTGACCTGGTGTGGGAGTGAACATAAAGGTGTGGGGTGAGGGAGGGTTGGTGTGGTTTGAATACAAAGTGAGGGAGGTCGGCCTGATGTGGGGTGAACATTAAGTGAGGGAGGTGTGGTCTGGTGTGGTGTAAACATAAAGTGAGGGAGGTGGTCTGGGTTGGTTTGGGCATAACTTATAAACCTATGGCCAATGTTGTCTATTGTTTTGCAGCTGCTTGGCATTATGGAATAACCTCGGTAGAGGTTTTCACGATTGCAGGAGGTTTTACAATGACCATTGTAAAACCTCATCACGAAAATCTTGAAGTTTTACAATGGTCGGTTGTAAAACCTCATACCATGATGTGAGGTTTTGAAATGACCATTATTTATGACTGATACAACTTTGTCTTGCTATGACTGATCAGTAAAATATCTCATTATTGAAAACTTCCAATATTTAGTGGCGATAACTGGTTTGAACCATAACCCATCGGCTCTCGAGCTTGGCGGTTTTATCCACCACGCCTACGAAGGATCGCTGTGAGGAATGAGATTGTTTGTCAGTATGAACCATGTGTTTCTCACAAGACAGGTACTGCGGGCAGCGCATGTGCAGGACACGGGTAGCGCGTGCAGAGCATGAGCATTGCGCGTGCGGGGCAAGGTGTTGGCTGCCAGTCGCATCCCAGTTGATACTGGCTGTTCCATCATTTGCGGGCTGTTCCATCAATGTTGTTCTACTCAGTACATGCACAAATTGAAAATAATACATATGTAATTTTTGTTGTCTAAGACGGTTTATAAGTTTGATAAAAGACTCCTCCTCGGTTTTGGTTGAGAATGTAAAACCTCAGTGTCAGGAAATCCAAATTCTCATCCGAAACCTTGGAGTCATCTTGGTGTGGGGTGAACATAAAGTTAGGGAGGTCGGTCTGGTGTGGGGTGAACATTAAGTGAGGGAGGTCGGCCTGGTGTGGGGTGAACATAAAGTGAGGGAGGACGGCCTGGTGTGGTGTGAACATGAAGTGAGGGAGGACGGCCTGGTGTGGGGTGAACATAAAGTGAGGGAGGACTGCCTGGTGTGTTGTGAACGTTAAGTGAGGGAGGACGGCCTGGTGTGGGGTGAACATTAAGTGAGGGAGGACTGCCTGGTGTGTTGTGAACGTTAAGTGAGGGAGGACGGCCTGGTGTGGGGTGAACATTAAGTGAGGGAGGACTGCCTGGTGTGTTGTGAACGTTAAGTGAGGGAGGGGGGATGGGCGGCCTGGTGTGGGGTGAACATTAAGTGAGGGAGGACTGCCTGGTGTGGGGTGAACATAAAGTGAGGAGACTGACCTGGTGTGTCCTGATTAAGTGAGAATTGGAGGAGTAGAGGGAGGACGGCCTGGTGTGGGGTGAACATTAAGTGGGGAGGGGCGGCCTGGTGTGGGTGAACATTATGTGAGGGAGGACTGGCCTGGTGTGGGAGTGAGGGACCTGGTGTGGGGTTATGTGAGGGAGGGAGGAGGGCTGGTGTGGGGTGAACATTAAGTGAGGGAGGACGGCCTTAAGTGAGGGAGGGCTGACCTGGAGTGTGAGGAGGAGGAGGACGGCCTGGTGTGTTGTGAGCGATTAAGTGAGGGAGGGGCGGCCTGGTGTGGGGTGAACATTAAGTGAGGGAGGACTGCCTGGTGTGTTGTGAACGTTAAGTGAGGGAGGACGGCCTGGTGTGGGGTGAACATTAAGTGAGGGAGGACTGCCTGGTGTGGGGTGAACATTATGTGAGGGAGGACGGGCTGGTGTGGGGTGAACATTATGTGAGGGAGGACGGGCTGGTGTGGGGTGAACATTAAGTGAGGGAGGGCGGGGTGTGGGAATTGAATACAAAGTGGGGGAGGGCCTGGTGTGGGAGTGAACATAAAGTGAGGGAGGGGCGGCCTGGTGTGGGGTGAACATTAAGTGAGGGAGGAGACTGCCTGGTGTGTTGTGAACGTGGGGTTAAGTGAGGGAGGGCAGACGGCCCTGGTGTGGGAGTGAACATTATAAAGTGAGGGAGGAGCGGCCCTGGTGTGGGGTGAACATAAAGAAAGTGGGGAGAGCCCTGGTGTGGTGTGGGGTGAACATTAAGGAAGGACTGACTGCCTGGTGTGTTGTGGAAGCATTAAGTGAGGGAGGACTGCCTGGTGTGGGGTGAACATTAAAGTGAGGAGGGAGGTACGGCACTGGTGTGGGAGTGTGAATACAGCGAGTGAGGACTGAGGGAGGGCGGCAGGAGGACTGGTGTGGTGTGAACATTAAAGTGAGGGAGGGCGGCCTGGTGTGTGGTGTGAACATAAAGTGAGGGAGGACTGACCTGGTGTGGTGTGTGAACATAAAAGTGAGGGAGAGGACGGCCTGGTGTGGGGTGAATACAAAAGTGAGGGAGGGAGACTGCCTGGTGTGGGGTGAACATAAAGTGAGGGAGGACGGCCTGGTGTGGTGTGAACATAAAGTGAGGGAGGACGGCCTGGTGTGGGGTGAACATAAAGTGAGGGAGGACGGCCTGGTGTGGTGTGAATACAAAAGTGAGGGAGGAGTCAGCCTGGTGTGGGGAGTGGAACATTAAGTGAGTGAGGAGGACGGCCTGGTGTGGTGTGAACATAAAGTGAGGAGGAGCTGACCTGGTGTGGGAATACAGTGAAGGGCGGCCTAAAAGTGAGGAGGGCTGACCTGGTGTGGGGTGTAAACATTATGTGAGGGAGAGGGCGGGTTGGTGTGGGGTGAACATTAAAGTGAGGGAGGGCGGTCAGGGGTGGGGTGAAAATATAAAGTGAGGGAGGACGGCCTGGTGTGGTGTGAACATTATGTGAGGGAGGACGGTCTGGTGTGGGGTGAACATAAAGTGAGGGAGTACGGCCTGGTGTGGTGTGAACATTATGTGAGGGAGGATGGCCTGGTGTGGTGTGAACATAAAGTGAGGGAGGACGGCCTGGTGTGGGGTGAACATAAAGTGAGGGAGGACGGCCTGGTGTGATGTAAACATTATGTGAGGGAGGACGGGTTGGTGTGGGGTGAACATAAAGTGAGGGAGTGTACGGTCAGGGGTGGGGTGAAAATAAAGTGAGGGAGGACGGCCTGGTGTGGTGTGAACATTATGTGAGGGAGGACGGTCTGGTGTGGGTAGAACATAAAGTGAGGGAGGACAGCCTGGTGTGGTGTGAACATAAAGTGAGGGAGGTCGGGTTGGTGTGGGGTGAACATAAAGTGAGGGAGGACGGTCTGGTGTGGGGTGAACATTAAGTGAGGGAGGACGGCCTGGTGTGGTGTGAACATAAAGTGAGGGAGGTCGGGTTGGTGTGGGGTGAACATAAAGTGACGGAGGACGGCCTGGTGTGGGGTGAACATGAAGTGAGGGAGGTCGGCCTGGTGTGGGGTGAACATTAAGTGAGGGAGGTCGGCCTGGTGTGGGGTGAACATAAAGTGAGGGAGGTCGTCCTGGTGTAGGGTGAACATTAAGTGAGGGAGGACGGTCTGGTGTGGTGTGAATACAAAGTGAGGGAGTACGACCTGGTGTGGGGTAAACATTATGTGAGGGAGGTCGGCCTGGTCTGGGGTGAACATTTTGTGAGGGAGGACAGCCTCGTGGGGGATGAACATTAAGTGAAGGAGGACGGCCTGGTGTGGGGTGAAGTTAAAGTGAGGGAGGACGGCCTGGTGTGGTGTGAACATTATGTGAGAGAGGAAGGCCTGGTGTGGTGTGAACATTATGTGAGGGAGGACGGCCTGGTGGAGGGTGAACATAAAGTGAGGGAGGTCGGCCTGGTGTGGGGTGAACATTATGTGAGGGAGGACGGTCTGGTGTGGTGTGAATACAAAGTGAGGGAGTACGACCTGGTGTGGGGTAAACATTATGTGAGGGAGGTCGGTCTGATGTGGGCATAAGATAAAGTGAAGTTGATATGAATGGAAACCAGAGAATATGGAGATTGTGCCTGAGTATCAGATAAAATTCATCCCAGACCCCTCCTCTACCTCCAGTCTGATGAGTTCAACTGGCTCATGTTCTACTTTCCAGGTCGAGGCTTGAGCAGCCTGAAGAAGCTGCGCACTCTGAGACTGGACAGCAACCACCTGCTACGCCTGGAGACAAGTGACCTTGTAGCGTGTGTCCAGATCACTGTGCTTCACCTCAGCTCCAATATGCTGGACAACCTCTCAGTAAGGAGTTTCACAGTACATTTAAATAATGTTTGCCTCATCAGTATCTAAACTCTTCTGGTCATGCTTTATTACCATGTCTCGATCTTACGTGAACTAGGAAGTTCCACTTGATTAGCTGACGAGCTTCCTGGTCCCCATGTTTACAGGATAGATCTACTCATCTATACAGCAGGCTTGGAACTACCTGTTTATATAGCATGTCTCCAACAACTTGGATATATTACATTCCTTTAGCAGCTTGTTTATATTGCTGGCCTTGGACAATCTGTATATATTGCTAGCCTAGAGCTATCTGTATATATTGCTGGCCTTGAAGTATCTGTATATATTGTTGGCCTTGATCTATCTGTATATATTGCTAGCCTTGTGCTATCTGTATATATTGCTGGCCTTGAAGTATCTGTATATATTGTTGGCCTTGATCTATCTGTATATATTGCGGGCCTTAAACTGCATGTATATATCCCTGGCCTTTAACTAAGTGTATATATTGCAGGCCTTAAACTACCTGTACATACTGACGGCCTTTAACTAAGTGTATATATTGCAGGCCTTAAACTACCTGTATATATCTCCGGCCTTTAACTAAGTGTATATATTGCAGGCCTTAAACTGCCTGTATATATCTCCAGCCTTTAACTAAGTGTATATATTGCAGGCCTTAAACTACTTACCAAACCTGGAGGAGCTCTCAGCCTCCAACAACCGACTTCGGAAGGTGACAGATATGCAGCGATGTAAGAAGCTACAGGAGGTGGATCTTTCTGGAAACAGGATCTCTGATCTCAGTGGTCTGGCAGGTCTACCTCACCTACAGGTGAGATGGTAGATGTAATTTGCTATAGATGCAGAACTGCATTATATAACCGATTGTTTTAAATTTGAATATCTCCGTGAAGGTGCAACAATTGAAATGATATTGTTTGATTGTGATGTCATGAAGGTGCATGGGATGATGGTATGTAATGTATTGATGTTTACGACTGACAGATCACCACAGTAGAGACAGGTCTAGTTAAGTCACCACACCATTATGTTAAACTTTGAATATTTTCATAAAACTCGAGTTTTTAAAGAAACCTGCACTCATTGATAAGTGGATGGAACCAGTCATATGTCAGGAAACCACATGGCACTGTGAAAAGTGGCCTAAACAGTCACAGAAGCTCTGAATACAGTTCAAGGATTTGATACCAGATTTGAGCAGGAAACTGAATTCCACTGGGATAAACTACAACATAAATGGTGAAATCTGAAGAACTTTGTAGCAGTGCCTCAGGAAAGGAACGTGGTAATTCAATGTGATGCCAGCCACTTTGCACTTGGAAGTCTTCTTCTCCAAGTTGGAAACCACCGGCATACACCTCCAGGGCTCTGACCCCTACAGAACAGAATTGACACCCAGAACCAGCAGGAGATGCTTGCAATTGTCCACATTTGCAAGAGATATCATTATTACATTTTCTGCGAAGCACTAACAGTCAGATGCCATGTCTCTGCAAGGTTTCTGTACAACATCCCTACTACCTGCACACATAGAGATGCTGAGACTGCACACAGAGATGCTGAGATGCAGTCCTGAGACACTGTCCAGTCAGAAATGAGACATTGCAGAGTTGTGTACAGTCATGAGACCTGAGACATTGTCCTGAGTTGTGTACAGTCCTGAGACTGCACACAGAGATGCTGAGATGCAGTTGTGTACAGTCCTGAGAAATTGGAGTCGTGTGTACAGTCCTGAGACCTTACAGTTGTGTACAGTCAGTGAGACCTTACAGTTGTGTACAGTCCTGAGACCTTATGGTCATGTACAGACATGAGACCTTACAGTCATGAGACCTTACAGTCGTACAGTCATGTATCAGTCGTGGAGACCTTATAGTCGTACAGTAGACATACACAGTCCTTTAGACCTTCACGGTCGTACATGTCCTGAGACCTTATAGTCATGTACAGACATTGCAGATACATTGCCTACTACCAGTGCACACCTGAGACATTGCACACAGAGGTGCTGTCCTGGAGATGCAGTCCTGAGACACTGCAGTTGTGTACAGTCCTGAGACATTGCAGTTCGTGTACAGTCCTGAGACATTGCAGTCGTGTACAGTCCTGAGACATTGCAGTCGTGTAAAGTCCTGAGACATTGCAGTCGTGTACAGTCCTGAGACATTCCAGTTGTGTTCAGACATGAGACCTAATGGTCGTGTACAGACATGATACTTTACAGTCATGTACAGTCCTGAGACTGTACGTTCTTGTACAGACATGAGACCTTACAGTCGTATAATCATGAGACTTTACATTTGTGTACAGACATGAGACCTTACCGTCATTATAGTTGTGAGGCCTAATGGTCGCGGTACAGTCCTGAGACCTTACAGTCGTAGATAGTCCTGAGACCTTACATTCATGTACAGACATGAGACCCACAGTCCTGAGACCTTACCCTCGTGGTACAGACATGAGACCTTATAGTCATGAGACCTTACAGTTGTGTACAGTCATGTACAGTCGTGAGACCTTATAGTCGTGTACAGTCCTTTAGACCTTACGGTCATGTACTGTCCTGAGACCTTATAGTCGTGTACAGACATGAAATCTTGCAGTCGTGTACAGTGCTGAGACCTTACAATTGTGTACAAACATGAGACCTTACAGTTGTGTACAGTCATGAGACCTTACAGTCGTACAGACATGATACCATACAGATGTGTACAAGCTCGGGAAGGATGTTCCAGCAGACGAGTCTAGATGGCATACCAGAACTGCTCTGTGTTGACAATGGCTCCCATTTTGCTTCCTTCTCTTCTGTTGAGTCTAAGGAATACAGCATGCGACATCTCCACCAGGTTTTCCTTAGTCAAATTGAGAAGCAGAGAGAGCTGTCCAAACAGCTCAGCAGTTGTGGAGGAAGAACAAGGAACGATATGTTGCTCTTCTAGATTACCGATCCGCTATTGTGCCGTAAGCAGTCAAACTCAGCTACTCATGTGTCACCGACCTAGAAAAATGGCAACAGTGACAACTGGCTTTGTGACTAGCTAAAACAGCTTCACTACTGACTCTCAACATTCACAGAACACGTGTATCCATCTTTGTGATACACTCAGTTCTCCAGTTATTACATTCATCGACACCCATACAGCCAACACCAGCATCTGTCCAAACATCATTGACACTGCTGAAAACATCGTGAATTCTGAATCAAGGAATGTGTTCAACTTGAATCATTACCGTTCAGTATTAAGCCATAAACTAGTTCCAATGTAGTTGTTTAAAATCTATTCTATTATCTTCTTGGTCAAAAAGGAGATGTATCGTATTGATGTTTATGACATTAAAGACAGACGTAGTTACCATGCTGTTATGTCATTCCTAAATGCTACAGCTATCACTGTGATGTCATTAAGATTCAAGAAATAGAATGATTATGTCATTTTTTATTATGACGTCATGAAGATGCAAGAAATAGGAAGACAATGTCACTGTTTGGTTTTGTTGTCATAAAGGTGAAATGCAGAATGATGTAATTTTCCATATTGTGATGCCAAGGAAGTGAGGATATGAAACGTTGATGTCTTTGACTGCCCCATCCTGCTGTTGTATGGGTGCAAGTTTAAATGTCTTTTCATTGTAAAGGTCTGATGAATACCTCAGACTTGTTCTGCAGGAAGGTAACTGGCCTTAGATTACAGATGGCTATGTGTAGCAAGGTTTCCAGATAAAAACATGTAAAAACGATATGCATGGTCTATGGAAACATCCATTTACCATGTGAACCACATCCATCAACCAATCAAACTCTTATGTTCAATATGAACCACATCCATCAGCCAATCAAACTCTTATGTTCAATATGAACCACATCCATCAGCCAATCATACATCCATGTGAACCACATCCATCAGCCAATGAAATATCCATGTGTCATGTGAACCACATCCACCAACTAATCAAACATCCACTTACTATATGAACCACATCCATCAGCCAATCAAACATCCATGTGTCGTATGAACCACATCCATCAGCCAATCAAACATCCATGTTGATGTGTGAACCACATCCATCAACTAATCAAACATCCTTGTGTCGTATGAACCACATCCATCAACCAATGAAACATCCATGTGCCATATGAACCACATCCATCAGTCAATCAAACATCCATGTTTCATATGAAACACTTCCATCAACTAATCAAACATCCATGTTGATGTGTGAACCACATCCATCAACCAATCAAACATCCATGTGCCATATGAACAACATCCATCAGTCAATCAAACATCCATGTGCCATATGAACCACATGCATCAACTAATCAAACATCCATGTGTCATATGAGCCACATCCAAGAACCAATCAAACATCCATGTGCCATATGAACCACATGCATCAACCAATCAAACATCCATGTGCCATATGAACAACATCCATCAGTCAATCAAACATCCATGTGCCATATGAATCACATCCATCAACCAATGAAACATCCATGTGCCATATGAACCACATCCATCAACCAATGAAACATCCATGTGCCATATGAACCACATGCATCAACCAATCAAACATCCATGTGCCATATGAACAACATCCATCAACCAATCGAAACATCCATGTGCCATATGAATCAACATCCATCAACCAATGAAACATCCATGTGCCATATGAACCACATGCATCAACCAATCGAAACATCCATGTGCCATATGAACCACATGCATCAACCAATCAAACATCCATGTGCCATATGAACCACATCCATCAACCAATGAAACATCCATGTGCCATATGAACCACATCCATCAGTCAATCAAACATCCATGTGCCATATGAACCACATCCATCAACCAATCAAACATCCATGTGCCATATGAACCACATGCATCAACTAATCAAACATCCTTGTGCCATATGAACCACATGCATCAACCAATGAAACATCCATGTGCCATATCAACCACATCCATCAACCAATCAAACATCCATGTGCCATATGAACCACATGCATCAACCAATGAAACATCCATGTTGATGTGTGAACCACATCCATCAACTAATGAGATATCCATTTGCCATATGAACCACATGCATCAACTAATCAAACATCCATGTGTCATATGAACCACATCCATCAACCAATGAAACATCCATGTGCCATATGAACCACATGCATCAACCAATCAAAGATCCATGTGCCATATGAACCACATGCATCAACCAATCAAACATTCATGTGCCATATGAACCACATGCATCAACTAATCAAACATCCATGTGCCATATGAACAACATCCATCAACCAATGAAACATCCATGTGCCATATGAACCACATGCATCAACTAATCAAACATCCATGTGCCATATGAACCACATGCATCAACCAATCAAACATCCATGTGCCATATGAACAACATCCATCAACCAATCAAACATCCATGTGCCATATGAACCACATGCATCAACCAATCAAACATCCATGTGCCATATGAACCACATCCATCAACCAATCAAACATCCATGTGCCATATGAACAACATCCATCAACCAATCAAACATCCATGTGCCATATGAACCACATGCATCAACCAATCAAACATCCATGTGCCATATGAACCACATGCATCAACCAATCAAACATCCATGTGCCATATGAACCACATGCATCAACCAATCAAACATCCATGTGCCATATGAACCACATGCATCAACCAATCAAACATCCATGTGCCATATGAACCACATCCATCAACCAATGAAACATCCATGTGTCATATGAACCACATGCATCAACCAATGAAACATCC